TTCTTCCCTGAAACCCATGCTGCGTAAGGGGCGACTAAAATCCCGGGGAGAAAGGGGGCTATAACCCCTTCTCCTGTATTATTACTAAATTTAAAAGGAAAAACTTCAGTTTTTTCTTTTGGGCCACCCCACCCATGGGGTACGGGTGGTACTTGAAAGAAAGAAAATGTATATACAGGGACCCCCGTTAAAAAGAAATTTTTTTTATTCCAGTAGTTTTAAAGGGGCAGTACTGCGAATTTTTCCTAAGGAAAATTGTGAAGTAGATTAGCCATTTCAGACCCCCCAAAAAATACACTACAAACGCACTTACTAAATACACTTAATAATTGGTCGCATTTTGGGGGTGTCGTTAACGGGGGTCCCTTATATATAAAATATAAAATATATATATATATATTAAAATATTTATATATAAAATTAATAATAAAAAATATATATTAATATTAGGGAAAAAAATGAAATAAAAAGGGGAGAGGGGTAAAAGAAGAAAAAAAAATGTTCAAATTGGGAGGAGGGATGGAAAAGGAAAGTTTTTAAACTTGGGGGTTGGGGAGCGGAAAAGGTTTATGGGTGGTTAAAATTTAAAGTGGGGAAAAAAAAAAAAAAAAAAAACTTTTTCTATGGAGGGAAAGAAGGGAATGTTGAAAGATAGTAGTCCAACCTCTTTTATGGGGGGTGAAAACTTGGGTGGTAAATGAGCAGCGAGGGACGGTTGGAGGCGCGGAGATTCCCGTTTTTGGCAATGTTGGTGTAAAAAATTTTGCGAAAATTCGAGGTGGAAATTAGGAAAGGTGTGGAGTTTAAAAAAAGTATTAGCAGAGGGGAGAAGGGGGTTGTTGAGGGGGTTTGGTCATTAGAGAGAAGGATCACATAAAGACTGGAAAGCATAAAACTATAGGGGGAAAGGGAAAGGCGGGGTAGGGGCTCCTCGAAAAAGGGGTTTGGGGAGAGGGGGGAAAAGGGGGTTTTGTGGGGGAAGGGGCTTGACTTCCACAAGCGGGTGAGCGTGTTTGATAGGAGTGAATGGGAAGAATGGTATGGGACCTGACATCTGTTGGAGTGTGAGCAGGAATATTTGTGAAGGGAATCAGGGAAACCGTTATTTTCTAATCGGACTTTAGTCTTTGGGAAAAGGGGGGTACAATGCCCGCACTTTAAAGGAGGGGTTTGGGAAATTGGCAGTTTGGAGGGATATGTTGTGTATCTTTATATGTTTATGCTTCTAGACTGTTGTATTCTGAGCACCTCTGCAAAAACAGTGATAATGTGCGAGTGTGGTGAAAGTGTTGAATGATGATGAAAGTATTTTCTTTTTGGGGATTTTCTTTCTTTTTTGGGTCACCCTGCCTCGGTGGGAGACGGCCGACTTGTTGAAAAAAAAAAAAAAAAATATATATATATATAATACTATATATATTTTTTTTTTTGGGGGGGGGGGTTGAGTGCATTTTTTTTCTACATGTTACAGGATAAAAAAAAATTAGGATCAGTACTTACAGAGATATAAGCCCACGAAGCTGGCGCTGGATGCTCACATGACAGCAACATCGAGTCCTGCCGCTTGCAGAAGTGTTGCCGATATACCTTTTTCTCTCATTCTTATTTTAATTTATACAATTTTTATGTTCTGGTAATTACAATTTATAATAGTTCTTGTGATTTCAAAGCCAATCTTTGTTCTGACATTAATATTAGGTACTGAAATAGTACTCAAATAGTCACAATCACACCGACAGGTGAACATATTCACCTGCACTGGTCATTTACTATTGTCTAGAATTACATACAAAGTATATATAGGTCTCAGCAATGTTTTAGACACGCTGGAGTATATATGAAACTTCTTGAAGCATGGTGTTTATGACGAGTCTCAGTAAACTGCTGACAGTGCAGTGACACTTGATGAATGTGCGCTGCTCCAGGGAACCCTGGCTTTGTCTGTTTTCACTGTTACATACAAACATGTCTGTCTGTCTAGCTCTGCTTATCTGTCTTTTTGTCTGCCTGTGTGCGTGTCTTTCCGTCTGCTTGTCTCTGACTCGGAACGGTTCATAAACCTCTTGGTTTATGAGCCGCTCCCTGATTCCTGAGCCAGTGACAATGCGTACTACTTACGTCATGCTTATTATGCCTCATATCTACAAGCACTGTATAGCACTTTGCCTGGAATTTTTGGGTTATCCTAGGTAATTTACATAATGTTTAATAACTGTACTTATGTGTACCTGTGAGAGACAGACAAAGATACAGACAGACAGAGACAGATACAGACAGACAGCCAAAATCAGTCGGCCAGTTAGCCAGCCAGCCAGCCTGCTGAATACATATTACATGTTCCAGAATCATTTCGTTTACTTAAGGCATAGGCTATTGAACATTCTGGCAGGATGACACTACCAGTGGTATCGGAAATGAAAGGATGTTGCATAAATGTTGCACATGGGTTGTTATCGAGGTTTTCGACATTTCCTCGACCACTTGTGGCCACATCCATCTCAAAACTACTATACTCTGGGTCAACATCACTTTCCTCTTAAAAGGGGAGTGTTAATACGACATGATGTCAATGAATCCCTGGTGTTTGCCATGCTATTTGCTCTAGCTGGCGCTCAATTGAACTGGTGCTCCTACAATTTACTATGTGGTCCCAGATTTTTTAATACTGCGCACACTGAGTGTTAAGACCTATTCTATACTGACCAGGCATCACAGGCCAATCGTGCCAAATTTGGAGGCAGGAAAAATAAAACAGATTTACATTTGGAGTGCTAGTGGTATAAATGTAGATCTATGTTTGGACAGTTTAAAGGTTAAACCAAAAACAAAGTTGCAGTTTTTTTCCCCATTGTGCGCTGCGTGCTGCAGGATTTTTTTACATGGTGCACACTTACCGTATAGACCCATTCTCTTATGTCTAGGCCCAAATTTACTGCTCACAGCTTATCTGAGTGAGCTGAGCTCATGGTGTTATACTACAGGACCGACACTGGCTTCAAAGCCTTGATACAACAGGACCGACATCGAAAGGGTTAATCCACACATTCAATAACTTTTTTATCGTTGTAGTGGCTTCTTTGGCATTCATTTCAAAAGATCACAATTTGTACTACTCATTGCACAAGCTCTCAGTTTCTTTTCAGTGTCTAGTTGCATGAATGGTTGATACAGACCAAAAGTGTGGGCATCTCTATCACATATACAGCACCTTGAAATACTGTACATTTAAAACTTTCACTTTCAATACTGTTACAGATTCATGCTTATTTTTCTTCTTGGTACTTCCAGTATCACTAGTACTAAATTCCTCTTGGGTGCCCAGATACTAGATGGGCTGACAAAAATATCCAAAAATAACTTAATAGTGCACATGGTAGGTGATGCTCCCAGAAAACAACAGTAGGTGACATGGGTGGCAGTGAGGAAGGATGATGTGCCTATCTAAACTAAACCCAAAGCCCACCTTGAATTGAAAGGGAAAATTTCCACACACTGCACAAAACTGCATGCTATGGAAACCTACAGCAAGCAGTGCCACAATTTGTGTTAGCTGTTTACTTCACTCTTTATGCATGTAATATCAAGGTTTTTGCATGCTATCAAAAATTTTGGTTGTACAGTGGACTCTCGGGTAACAATGACATCAGCTAGCGATAAAATCGGATATCGATGGGTCTTTGCGTAAAAATATTGGCTTGGCCAACGATGAAAAATTCGGTTAGGGACATTTGTCCCGAATGCGTCCACCTGTCCGTCCGGACTGAGCACCTCAGCTGCCCTGCCTTCAGCTAGTGTGCCATTGTTTACAAGCCAGAGCGGACGGGTCCACGCACACATTCGATACATTTTGTATTATTCCATTGTTTTTAGTGCTTGTAACTGCTAAATAAGCCACCATGGGCCCAAAGAAACCTTCTAGTGCCAACCATGTGGTAAAAAGGGTGAGAAATGCTATCATATCACAGTCAGCTGCTGCTGCACCACCATCAGCTGCTGCTGTACCACTGTTAGCTGTTGCTGCACCACCATCAGCTGCTGCTGCACCACTGTCAGCTGTTGCTGCACCACCGTCAGCTGTACTACTCGAAGATGTGGAGAGACTGTTGTTGGTGTGATTTAACGAGACACAATTACCAAGAAACAATTAACCCCAGAGGGTTAGCCACCCAGGATAACCCAAGAAAGTAAGTGCATTATCGAAAACTGTCTAACTTATTTTCATTGGGGTCCTTAATCTTGTCCCCCAGGATGCGACCCACACCAATCGACTAACACCCAGGTGAACCAGAAAAATTGCCTGGAACTAGTGCTCATATTGGTGAATTTAAGGCCAGCAAAGGTTGGTTTGAGAGATTTAAGAATCGTAGTGGCATACACAGTGTGATAAGGCATGGCGAAGCTGAAAAATTCCAACCCCAACAAGTGTTCAATTGTGCCGAAACAGGCCTGTTCTGGAAGAAAACGCCAAACAGGACCTACATTACTCAGGAGGAAAAGGCACTCCCAGGACACAAGCCTGTGAAAGACAGGCTAATTCTCATGTTTTGTTATAATGCCAGTGGGGATTGCAAAGTGAAGCCTTTACTGGTGTATCACTCTGAAAATCCCAAAATGTTCAGAAAAACTGTCTCATCACTCATCAATACTCTTCAATAAAGGTATGTGTCATTTTAGTATTTATTTATGTATTTATTCTGCATGTCTCATTGTTTTCTGTGTAGAGAAATGTATATTTCATGTAAAAAAAATTATTTTTTTTAAGACTTTTGGCTGTCTGGAATGAATTACGAAATTGGATTTCCATTATTTCTCATGGGAAAAATTAATTCAGCTAACGATAAAATCAGTTAAGGACAAGCTCTCTGAAATGGATTAAAATCATTACCCGAGGGTCCAATGTACCTTTTCAATCACATTACAATAAAAATTGTGCTATCTGAAGTCCATTATAAAAGGGTTTCCTGTAAAATAATTACTATCAATTATATATAACTACTAACCTGTTGTCACGTTTCAAATCATTCCAAAATGAGTCACTTGCAATGCCGTAAGACACATTACATTCCTGAACACTCAAGTTAGGATCCATCAGACCAACTGCATTTGAGCTATCATCAGCACAGTTAATGTCACTGTTTAATGATGCCTCATAAGGAAATGCATTCCTGTCCATAGAATTATCCTGTGTGCAAAGAAATTCATTAATTGCTTTGTACAGTATTTCACTTTTTATAAAACATTAATAATCACAACAAATAGGCTTTCATAAAATATCAGTCATTTTACACCAAGGAAAGGTAACTCAATAATGGAAACATTCATTATCATTCCCTCGCTGTGATTAAAATAGTGCACTGAAATCTTAATTAATCTTAAGAGGGCATTGATACAATGTAGGCTCCAGTGACAAAGCTAGAGAAATCTAAACTAAAATTAAAATGCAGTTGAATTCTGTTAACCCAAAGCCAGTTTAACTAAAAATTTAACATTCCACAATAAATGCTTCCAAACAGATAAGATGTAATTTTCTCTTCTAACCAAATCTAAAGAAGTAAAAACAACCTTTTCCACAAGATGAATCAGGAGTGAAACTGACAAACCGGAGTCCAGTATCAGCAGCACTTGTGAGCTCAGTGGAGGAAGGTGCCTGTGCATGTTTATTTATTTTGGATCTCACTTTAATCACCTTTGTGAGAGCCATGTGGCTTTATAGTATTGGTTACACCCTGCTCACCAAGTGTACATTTGACCAACTATGTTACCTCATCTACTACAACATATAGCAATTAACTATACAACACTTGGGGCTACTGGCAATATTGGAAGGCAAGATTCTAATGCAAGATCATGAAACAGAGAAAAAAGGTAAAATACAAGAAATACTAGGCCTATAATTATAGTAGTCACCTCCATTGCACCTCCACCTCATAGTAGAGTGAAGCAAAAGGTTTCAGTAGGCAATATAAACTAACTGATCAAGGAATTAAATAAATTAGACAAAGAAGAGTGATTGGCAGATAATGCAAGAGGGCAAACAGTGAATGATTTTTAGAGAAAATAAAACTTTGAAAAAAGTAGATGGCACTGTGCATAAAGAGTTTTGCAAGATTCTCTTTCAATGTGTACCTTATTCCAAGCTAATTCGATTGAGAAAGTAAAGAAATACCACTAAGCAATGAACATTAAAAAGTCTTGTGAATATTACACTGGATGGCAAGACAGGAATGACAGAATGACCAGCCACATAAATTTGCAACATTCTTCACAAAAGGGTGTACTGCACAGCATGATCTATGCCAAAGCCATATTTTAACCAGGAAGCACATGAAAATTTGAATATGGGAACTTTTTGATAGCACCTCATATGTTTGCACTCTGCCAAATACATGCACTGAGTACAGAGTACTGGGGTTATGCAATATGGGGTTACCTTTCTTGGATTGTGCAGTGACTGAACTCCATCAAGTTAACAATTAAAGTTAAGTTTAATGATCTCAAGTACAGCTAGCCCTCCACTTTCGTGAGTTCCACTTTCGCAAGCTTTTAACATTTGCAAATGCATAGCTGCCCAATCATATTTACCAAACAAATGCGGGAAAAAAGTACGGGAAAACTCTTCCTCCTGCATCTCTACTACCCTCCCTCTTACCCCCTCAACCAGTAGCCCGCCACTCATTCAGTCATTGTCCAGTTACTGTTTGCATTGGTCGTGTCCAGTTACTGTACATGTCCTACCGTACACATGTGTTTGTGTGGTGGTGCAAGTATGACCCCCAAGTGAGCAGTAACCAGTATTGTTAGGCTAAGTAAATGCTATTATTATATTTCCCAACGTCATATGTGCACACCAAACATTCACGAATTTTCAAGATTCACGAGGTTCTTGATCCCCTAACCCTTGCAAATGTGGAAGGCCACCTGTATTTTGCTGGTACCTTTTGCATCCAGCTTGGGACTCTTTCTGCAAATTGCTTCGAACCAGCTTGGACTGATTAAGAATCATGATTTTGAGGAAAAAATCATTTGTAGAAGCAGCCTTTTCTTGTATCATTCCTAGTCTTCAACAGACTGTTGGCATCTGTTAAAAATCAAGAATTTGTTTATGCTATCAAGTCTCAGTCGAAAACACCTCTTTTCTTAACCTTATGATCATAATGTCACTCTTGAATATTGTGAAAAACTTATCTCAGTAAATTGGCACTTTGCCAATAACTTTCTGAGCAAGCAGTTTATTTAAGAATTGTACGAGAAAGTGGTTGGTAGACAGCATCCACCCAGGGAGGTACTACCATCCTGCCAAGTGAATGTGAAACAGAAACCTGTAATTGTTTTTCATGATGGGAGGACTGCTGGTGTCTTATTTTCTGTCTCATAAACATGCAAGGTTTCAGGTATGTCTTGCTACTCCTACTTACATAAGTCACACTACACATGCATGTACAAGCATATACGTACAATATATACACACACACACACACACACCCTCTGTTTTCTTCTATTTTCTTACTAGTTCTTGTTCTTGTTTATTTTTGCTTATCTCCAAATGGGAAAGTGGAACAGAATTCTTCCTCTGTAAGCCATGCATGTCGTAAGGGGCAACTAAAATCCCAGGAGCAAGGGGCTATTTAACCTCTTCTGTTTTTTTTTTTTCAACAAGTCAGCCGTCTCCCACCGAGGCAGGGTGACCCAAAAAAAAAGAAAATCCCCAAAAAGAAAATACTTTCATCATCATTCAACACTTTCCCCTCCACTCACACATAATCACTGTTTTTGCAGAGGTCTCAGAACACAACATTTTTAGAAGCATATACGTATAAAGTTTACACAACATATCCCTCCAAACTGCTAATATCCCGAACCCCTCCTTTAGAGTGCAGGCATTGTACTTCCATTTCCAGGACTCAAGTCGGCTACATAAAATAACAGGTTTCCTGAACCCCTTCACTAAATTTACCCTGCCACACTAAAAACGATCGTCGGGTCCCAAATACCATTCGTCTCCATTCACTCCTATCGAACACTCTCTGCACGCCTGCTGGAAGTCCAAGCCCCTCGCCCACATTACTATTACTATACTATTTAAAAGGAGAAACTTTCATTTTTCCTTTTGGGCCACCCTGCTTCACTGGGATACGACAGGTTTGTTGAAAGCGAGCGAATAAATTTTTTTTTTTAACACGTCGGCCGTTTTCCACCGATGAATGGTGGACAGAACTTAACACACATTCCACAAATAACCAACAAAAGGTTTAAACAGGGAAGCAGTAAATAAAATAAATAAAAATGAGCACATTCCAAGTTTTTATAAAGACGTCTAATCAATTTCCTAGGTAGTAGATTGGTAGACAGCAACCGCCCAGGGAGGTACTACCGTCCTGCCAAGTGAGTGTAAAACTGAAGCCTGTAATTGTTTTACATGATGGTAGGATTGCTGGTGTCTTTTTTTTTTCTGTCTCATACACATGCAAGATTTCAGGTATGTCTTGCTACTTCTACTTGCACTTAGGTCACACTACACATACATGTACAAGCATATATATACACACACCCCTCTGGGTATTCTTCTACAGTGGTCCCTCAATAATCGACCGGCCTGAAAGTCGACCATTTCGGAAATCAACCGGTTTTTTCGACAAAATATTGACTCGGAAATTGACCGAAATTCGTTTATCGACCCGTCGTCCCAGACGCGTATGCACGAGGTAAGCGGGCCTCGACCCGCCTCAGCCTTCCTTCCCAGCCAGTGTGCCATTGTTTACCAGTTAGCGGCGGTCCTCTCACGTGCTCCAGTGAAATATTTCATAATATTTCATTTATTTTAGTGCTTGCAAGTTATTTAAGTGCTAAATAAGCTACCATGGCTCCAAAGAAAGCTCCTAGTGCCAAACCTTTGGTAAAGAAGGTGAGAAATACCATTGAATTTAAGAAAAACATCATTGAACAATATGATAGTGGCGTATGTGTGGGTGAACTGGCGAGGATGTATAACAAAAATCATTCAACCATATCTTCCATCATAGCCATGAGAAAGGAAATCAAGGATGCTGTTGTTGCAAAGGGGGTAAATATGCTGACAAAAATGAGATCACCAGTACTGGAAGAGGTTGAGAAGTTATTATTGGTGTGGATAAATGAGAAACAATTAGCAGGAGACAGTCTTATGACCTCGATTATTTGTGAAAAGGCTAGGCAGTTGCATGAAGATTTGGTAAATAAATTGCCTGCAAATAGTGGTGAAGTGAGTGATTTTAAGGCCAGCAAAGGCTGGTTTGAGAGATTTAAGAAGCGTACTGGCATACACAGTGTGGTAAGGCATGGTGAGGCTGCCAGTTCGGACCACAAGGCGGCTGAAAAATATGTGCATGAATTCCAGGAGTACATAGAGGCTGAAGGACTGAAACCTGAACAAGTGTTCAATTGTGATGAAACAGGCCTCTTCTGGAAGAAAATGCCAAAGAGGACCTTCATTACACAAGAGGAAAAGTCAATGCCAGGACACAAGCCTATGAAAGACAGGCTGACGCTAATGTTCTGTGCTAATGCTAGTGGGGATTTCAAAGTGAAGCCGTTACTAGTGTACCATTCTGAAAATCCCAGAGCATTTAAGAAAAATAATGTTATGAAGAGTAAATTGTGTGTGTTTTGGAAATCTAATAATAAGGCATGGGTCACGAGGGAAATTTTTGTAGAGTGGTTCAACGAAGTGTTTGGCCCTAGTGTGAAGAATTACCTCCTGGAGAAGAAATTGGATCTCAAGTGCCTGCTAGTAATGGACAATGCACCTGCTCATCCACCAAACTTGGATGACCTAATTCTGAAGGAGTTTGGGTTCATCTCAGTAAAGTTCTTGCCCCCGAATACCACTCCTCTCCTCCAACCCATGGACCAGCAGGTCATTGCAAACTTTAAAAAACTGTACACCAAAGCAATGTTTGAAAGGTGCTTCAATGTGACCTCAGACACTCACTTGACCCTACGAGATTTTTGGAAAGAACATTTCAGTATTTTCCATTGTGTAAGCCTTATAGGTAAGGCTTGGGAGGGAGTGTCTACCAGGACTTTGAACTCTGCTTGGAGAAAATTGTGGCCAGATTGTGTCGACAAGAGGGATTTGGAAGGGTTTGGGGCTGACCCTGATGAGCCTATGTCAGTTTTGAACTCTATTGTGGCACTGGGGAGTTCCATGGGGTTGGATGTGAGTTTGGAGGATGTGGAAGAGTTGGTGGAGGACCACAACGAAGAGCTAACCACTGAGGAGCTGCAAGAGCTTCAGCAGGAAGAGCAACAGATCGCAGCTCAGAATCTTGCTGCAGAGGAGGAGGAAGAGAGATGGAAGAAGGTGCCTTCTTCAGAAATTAAGGAGATTTTTACTATGTGGGGTAAGATGGAAAGATTTATGGAGAAACATCACCCAGAGAAGGATGTTGCAAGCCATATCGGCAACTTGTACAGTGACAGAGTCTTGGCCCATTTTAGGGAAGTTTTAAAGAGACGCCAGAAACAGAGCTCTCTGCACAGTTATTTTGCGAGACAGGACTCCAGTGACTCTCAAGCTGATCCTAGTGGCATTAAGAAACAGAGAAAAGAAGCAACCCCAGAAAAGCAAATGGTACCTGAGGTGTTGCTGGAAGGGGATTCCCCTTCCAAACTATAAACAATCCACTCTCTCCTCCTCCTCCAGTCTCCCATACACTAAGAAGAATCTCCAATAAGGGTAAGTGTTATGCTGTTAATGTTTCATTCATCATTTCCCATTGTATTGTTTATGTACTACATGAATATTTCATGTAAAAAATTTTTTTGTTTTAATACTTCTGGGTGTCAGGAAACGGATTAATTGAATTTACATTATTTCTTATGGGGAAAATTGATTCGTAAATCGACCATTTCGATAATCGACCGGCTTCCAGGAACGGATTACCGTCGATAATCGAGGGACCACTGTATTTTCTTTCTGGTTCTTGTTCTTGTTTATTTCCTCTTACCTCCATGGGGAAGTGGAACAGAATTCTTCCTCCGTAAGCCATGCGTGTTGTAAGAGGCGACTAAAATGCCGGGAGCAAGGGGCTAGTAACCCTTCTCCCGTATAAATTACTAAATTTAAAAGAGAAACTTTCATTTTTCTTTTTGGGCCACCCTGCCTTGGTGGGATATGGCTGGTGTGTTGAAAGAAGAAAGAAGAAGTCTAATGAATTTATCATTTTGAAAGAAGTAAAGAGAAAAATAAACATGACAATACCACAAGACATTTCCTACTAAAAACATTTACAGTAGGCATGTACTGCCATTTTCATTGAAATTTATCAGACAGCACAGAACAAAAAATTACCACAATACATACCAATATCCTTAAGGTGGGCGAATCTCTCTCTTCCACAAAATGATCTATATCCTGTAACAACTTTTGCAGTCTTTTCAAAGGAGATATGGAAGTGGCAAAACGAGTCATCTGTAAAAATAACATGCAAGTACAGTATTAAGTACAGATGTGTATACTACAGTGTATATACATTTACATTACGAGTGTGAGCAGTTTTGTTGACATTGACATTTCTGCCCCATGAGGTGGGTAGGTTACCTCCATTAAGATGAAAACTGAGTGAATCTATAGTGAACCCTTGATTTAATGAACTATTTGGGGGGAACAGGTGCCCGTTAAAGCAGATTGTCGAAATGATAATAAAAATAACATACGATTGTAAATTTAACACACTGCACATTAAATGCAGAACTGTCCATAACAATAATAAAAAAAATTGATTTAAAAGAGTTTATTATGTCTAAAATCAATTTACCCAGTGGATCATAACAATGAACAATTCTGGACTTAACCATTTCACAGTCCCATCCCATTCTTGTTTTTTTTCCTGAATCCACATTCAGTAACTGTCTTGTTTAGCAACATTGATACATTCGTTAATTCACTTTAACAGGTCTTAATCCAGATTGCTCACTGCATAAGCTCTGTATTCTTCTCATTGTCTATAATGGTATGACACATACTCCACTGCAAAACTTCAATTTTCTTAGAGATGTTAGAGATCTCGTGCTTAATTTTTTTCTTGATACCTCAAACATCACTACTGTTCCTCACATACAGACGAGATGGGGTGATGAAAATATAAACCAATTATTTAACCCTTTCAGGTTCCAAGCCATAGATCTACAGCTTTACGTTGAGGGTCCAAACCGTAGATCTACGCCATGAGCTCAGCTCACTCTGATAAGCTGTGAGCAGTAAATTTGGCCCAAGATATGAGAGAATATATCTATGTGGTATGTGTGCACCACATTAAACAAATCCTGCAGCACACAGTGTATAATGAGAGAAAAAAAACTGAGACTGTAATTTTCGATAAAAACAGCGACTTTGCAGTCTTTTTTGGATGTTTTTTATAGTTGTATTTGCAATTTCTTGGTCTCATTTGATAGAATGGAAGATATATGACAGAACTAGAGATAATGTTGATTGGCTTTAGTAAGGAAAATGGCTTGAAACTGAGCTCAAGTAGTGGAAATGTTAAATTTTTGCCGATGTTCAAAAGAAAACAAATGACCTCACACGTCTAATACACGCCAGCTGGTGGGTCTAATATACGTTCACATATGTGCTGATATTATTTACGCAATTATTACAATATTGCATGACAGTAAATCCTCAATTTTTGGTCTGAATAAAAATTCATTATGTGAATTAAAAATCAAAATGGAATTCATTTGTAAAGCCTCAAAATGTAACTATTGAACAGAGGAAATGTTAGTTAAGTGCAGGAATGCCTGCATTGTTTATTCTCGGACCCTATTTTGAAATCGGAATACAGTGGACCCTCGCCTAACGCTATTAATCCGTTCCTGAGAGCTCAACGTTAGGTGAAATTATCGTTAGGCAAATTAATTTTCCCCATAAGAAATAATGGAAATCAAATTAATCCATTCCTGACACCCCAAACTATGAACAAAAAAAAATTTTTACCACATGAAATATTAATTTTAATACACACAGACTGAAGAAGACATGCACAGTTACATGACACTTACCTTTATTGAAGATCTGGTGATGATTGATGGGATGGGAGGAGGGGAGAGTGTTAGGTAAGACACACATGCAACAGTTAGGTATCTTTCTTTCGAAACGTATCGCCTACACAGTAGGCTTCTTCAGTCGAGTACAGAAAAGTTGATAGAAGCAGAAGAGACTTGAAGACAATGTAATCAGTCCATCACCCTTGAAGTTTTGAGGTGGTCAGTCCCTCAGTCTGACCACCTCAAAACTTCAAGGGTGATGGACTGATTACATCGTCTTCAAGTCGCTTCTGCTTCTATCAACTTTTCTGTACTCGACTGAAGAAGCCTACTGTGTAGGCGAAATGTTTTGAAATAAAGATACCTAACTGTTGCATGTGTGTCTTACCTAACAACCTGTTGGTATTTTATACCATTTTAATGTTCAGGAGGGGAGTGTGTTGATGGTGTTAGTGTTTAGAAGGGGAATCCCCTTCCATTAGGACTTGAGGTGGCAAGTCCTTTTCCGGGGTTACTTCCCTTCTTCTTTTAATGCCACTAGGACCAGCCCGAGTCACTGGACCTCTGTCGCACAACATATCTGTCCATAGAGGCCTGTACCTCCCGTTCCTTTATGACATTCCTAGTGTGTTTCACAACATTGTCAGTGTAATAGTCACCAGCACGGCTTGCAATAGCTGTGTGAGGGCGATTTTCATCAAAAAAGGTTTGCACTTTAAGCCACATTGCACGCATTTCCTTAATCTTTAAAGTAGGCAACTTCTTCAATTTCTCTATCCTCTCCTCCGAAGCAGTCTCCTCAGGTCTGCCCTCTTGCTGCTGAAGATGATCTAGCAACTCATCAGCAGTTAGTTCTTCATTGTCCTCCTCCACCAACTCTTCCACATCCTCCCCACTAACCTCCAACCCCAAGGACTTCCCCAATTCCACAATGGATTCCTCAACTGGCATAGGATTCCCAGGGTTAGCCTCAAACCCTTCAAAATCCCTTTTGTCTACACATTCTGGCCACAGTTTCTTCCAAGCAGAGTTCAAGGTACTCTTAGTCACTTCCTCCCAAGCCTTACCTATAATGTTTACACAATTGAGGATGCTAAAGTGATCTCTCCAAAACTCTCTTAGAGTCAGTTGAGTTTCTGAGGTCACTACAAAGCACCTTTCAAACAGCTCTTGTGTACAGTTTTTTTGGTCCATGGGCTGCAGGAGAGGAGTGGTATTAGGAAGCAAAAACTTGACCTTAATGAAGCTCATTTCTGCAGAAAGTCACTCTGCCACATCTGAAGGATGACCAGGAGCATTGTCTAATACCAGGAGGCACTTAAGGTCTAATTTATTTTCAATTAGGTAATTTTTCAGTGGGGGCAAATGCATGGCGTAACCAGTCAATAGAAAAAGTCCCTAGTGACCCATGCCTTACTGTTTGCCCTCCACAGCACACACAAATTAGCCTTGAGGACATTGTTTTTCCTAACACTCTGGGAGTTTCAGAGTGATCACCAATAAAGGCTTCACTTTGCAATCACCACTAGCATTGGCCACACATCAACAGAGTAAGCCTGTCTTTCATAGGCTTATGTCCTGGGAGTGCCTTTTCCTCCTGAGTAATGTAGGTCCTGCTTGGTATTTTCTTCCAAAACAGCCTGTTTCGTCACAATTAAAAAACTTGTTCAGGTTTCAGTCCTTCACTGTCTATGTACCCCTTTGAATTCCTGCACATATTTTTCAGCTGCTTGTGGTCCGAACTGGCAGCCTCACCATGCCTTATCACACTATTGTATGCCACTACGATTCTTAAATCTCTCAAAACCAACCTTTGCTGCCTTAAATTTACTCACATCATCACTAGTTGCAGGCAATTTTTTTTAATTAAATTGTCATGCAACTTCTTAGCCCTTTTTACATATGATCGCTTGAGAGATGCTATCTCCTGGCAAAAACAAGCTTCCTTGATTGCCGTTTTCTTTGGCCACAATAGTAGCGATGGTTGATTGGGTTTTGTGTACAACCTGGCCAGCTTTTGGGGAACACGCACTCCCTTTCATACTTAGCAATGATCTCTCTCTTCTATCCATAAATAATTCTCACTCTTTTTGCTGTAGGGTTGGCACTAGAAGCTTTCTTGGGGGGTCATGGTGACCCTTTTTTTGCAGGTGCAATCACTAAAAGGGCTTGATAATATGGGAAAAGTTCCGATTGTTATGCTTGGAAGCGACCGCAGTGGCTGACTTGTAAACACTGGCACCCACGGAACAATGAGGGGGCTCAGGCCGCACGTGGACGTGTCCCCGAACGGAAAACGTGTCAAGCGAGTTTTTTACTCTACCGAGGCAAAATTTTTGCATTAAAATGTATCGCTAGGGGGAGTTTTAAAGTTATGCGATGGGGTTCGTTAGGCGAGGGTCCACTGTATTTTGAGCTTTGCACTAAATTGGCCAAATTTCCAATTTCCCAAACACTGGATACTAAAGCTCTAAACTCAAAGCCTCTTCCACTCCCCCCTTCCAACTGTTTCTGGGGCTCAACAACAATAAACCCTCTCAGACCATTAACCCTTTCAGGCTTTCCGATGTACTAGTACGGCTTACGCACGAGGGTTATTGACGTACTAGAACGCCTAAATTCTAGCTCCTTCAAATTTAGTGAGAAAGCTGGTAGGCCTACATATGTGGTCAGTGTGCACAATATAAAAAAAATCCTGCAGCACACAGTGCATAATGAGAAAAAAAAACTCCGACCGTGTTTTTGGTTTAAAGCAGCGACTTTGCAGTGTATTTTCGTATGGTATTTATGGTTGTATTCTAGTTTTCCTGGTCTCAGTTTATAGAATGGAAGACATATTACAGAAATTGTGATGATTTGGATTGGTTTCATAATGAAAAGTACCTTGAAATTGAGCTCAAACTAGCAGAAATGTTAAATTTTTACCAAATTTCAAAAGTAAACAAATCATGCCAAGCGTCCAATACACATCAACTGGCGAGTCTAATAATCTTTCACAAGTGCACTGATATTATTTATACCATTTCTGCACCATTTCTATACTAATGCAGTAGTCTGCATAACAGTAAATCTTCTATTTTTTGTGAGAAATAAAAATTCAAAGTGGAAAGCAAGAGAGATGTAAGAGGGGACTGGGGACATGACTAATGAACAGAGAAAATGTTATTTTAGTGCCAGGAATGTCTGTCTTGCTTATTCTGTATCCTATTTGGAAATTGGCATCTTCTGAAATTTGTGTGAAATTGGCAAAATTGCCAATTTCTGACCACTTTATTGGATACTTGAAATCGGTAAATGGGTGGTTTCTTGTACTCATTCGATAGAAAAGTGGAGTTCTAGTGAAATAGATATGATTTCTGTCGACTAGTTAACTGAAATTGGCCGAAAATAGGAAAGTGGGTGAAATCGCCGATGAGTAAATATCGT